GTTATGGTCCGTCACCAGGGAAAACTCTTGCCCATACAAGTAGGGACTTAACTTTTTCAATGCCCAGACCAAGGCCAAACACTCCTTCTCCACTGCCGCATAACTCACTTCTCTGGGTAACAGCTTTCTGCTGAGATATGCGACAGGGTGCTCTCCTCCATCTTCCCCGACTTGGCTCAGCACAGCCCCCAGTCCATACATGGAAGCATCTGTATGGACGAGAAAGCGTTTGTTAGGGACTGGGGCTGCCAAGACAGGGGCATTCACAAGAGCCTGCTTCAGTGCCTGGAACGCAGCTTCACAAGCCGGAGACCACAGGACCTGCTTAGGCAAGTTCTTCTTTGTCAGGTCTGTCAGGGGCTTAGCAATAGCACTGTAGTCAGGGACAAAACGTCTATAGTACCCTGCCGTCCCCAAGAAGGCCAATACCTGGGTCTTAGTGGTAGGTGTGGGCCAGTTAGCCACTGCCTCTACCTTGGCTGGCTCTGGTCTCTGGCTCCCACACCCCACTCTGTGACCCAGGTACTGTACTTCAGCCATACCTAGATGGCACTTCTCCGGCTTCAATGTCAGGCCAGCGGCCCGAATTTTATCCAGCACTACCCCTACATGTACCAGGTGTTCCTCCCAGGACCCACTGTAAATCGCAATGTCGTCCAAGTATGCACAGGCAAATTCTTGGAAGCCATCCAGGAGTCTATCCACCATCCGTTGGAAGGTAGCCGGTGCATTTTTCATCCCAAAGGGCATGACCTTAAATTGGTACAGGCCAAATGGGGTGACAAATGCCGACTTGGGGATAGCATCCTCGGCCAGGGGGATCTGCCAGTAGCCCTTACACAGGTCCATGGTGGTCAGATATCGCCCCCTGGCAATACGATCTAGTAATTCGTCTACCCGGGGCATTGGGTAGGCGTCAGTGGTGGTCCGCTCGTTGAGTCGCCTGTAGTCCACACAGAACCGGGTGGTCCCATCTTTCTTGGGCACCAGGACTACAGGCGAGGCCCAAGGGCTGTCGGAGTGCTCGATGACCCCAAGTTGGGTCATCTCCTGTATCTCCTTCCGCATTCCTTCGCGGACTGCTTCAGGGATACGATAGGGGGGCTGTCGTAACGGGGTCTGTCCAGGGGTCTCTACCTTATGCACAGCTAGGGTGGTATAACCTGGTTCCTGGGAGAACGTCGCCTGCTTCTCCCATAACAACTGCTGCGCCTGTACCCTTTCTGTGGGGTTCAACCGGTCCCCTAGCTGTACCAAGGTAGTAAGGTCAGTCTGGGGATCCCTTTCTAATAGATCGGGAAGGGGTAGATTCTCAGAATCATCTGCAGCTGGGGCACATACTGCTGCAATATTCTCAGGTCTCTCCTGGTACTCTTTCAGCATGTTCACATGAAAGGACCGCTGGATCCTCTCATCTGCACAGCTGGCTATCAAGTAAGTAGTGTCGCAGATCTGCGCCACTACCTTGTGCGGGCCCTGCCAAGATGCCTGCATCTTGTTGGCCTTCACGGGTTTGAGCACCAATACTTTTTGCCCAACCTGGAAGACCCGCTGTCGAGCACCCTGATCGTACCACCTTTTCTGTCTCCCCTGGGCCGCCTGGAGATTCTCCCTTACCATCAGGGACAGTTTCTCCATGCGGTCCCGGAGTTCCAGAACATATGGCACAATGGGGGTCCCCTCTTGCTCCGTCTCCCCCTCCCAGTGGCCTCTATGAGATCTAGGGGTCCGCGGACCCTTCTCCCATACAGCAGCTCAAAGGGGGAGAACCCAGTAGATTCCTGGGGCACCTCTCTATAAGAAAATAATAGATGAGGCAGGAATCTCTCCCAGTCTCTGCAAGTGTCTGTAAGGGTCCTCAGCATCTGTTTGAGGGTACCGTTAAAGCGCTCGCAGAGACCGTTAGTCTGTGGGTGGTAGGGTGAGCTAAGTAACGGCTTAATGCCGCACACCTTCCACAGCTGCTGGGTGAGCACAGCGGTGAATTGGGTTCCCTGGTCGGAGAGAATCTCCTTAGGGAACCCGACCCTAGTAAAAATTCTAACCAGGGCGTCAGCAACCGTCTCTGCCTCTATGTTAGACAGCGCTACTGCCTCTGGGTAGCGGGTGGCATAGTCCACCACGGTAAGAACATACTTCTTACCGGATGGACTAGCCCTGGCCAGTGGACCCACAATGTCAACGGCTATGCGGGCAAAGGGCTCCCCTATAATAGGCATCAATAATAGCCTAGCCTTAGGGTGGTCCCCCCGCTTTCCTACCCGTTGACATGTGTCACACGTGCTGCAGTACATCCGCACAGCCTGGTTGAAGTTTGGCCAAAAGAAGTTCTGAGAGATCCTATAGGCTGTCCAGCTAATGGAACATCATGCCCTATCCGCAGAATCTCCTGCCGGTACTTTGCAGGTACCACTAACTGGCGATTCGGCGGAGGGGCAACACTCTTCTGGGAAGGTTTAGGGATCCTATATAACCTGTCCCCCACCCACTCATACCGTTCCCCTTCTATTCCTTCCTCTCCAGCATCTGCCCTGTCTTTGTACTTTTGGAGGGTCGGATCTGCCCGGGTTTCCCTCCCAAACTCCTCTGGGGAATCCCAGCTTAAGGGGACCTGATCTGGGGTACCAGTCGGGGAAGGAGATCTTACCTGGGTCTCATCAGCAAGTGGGCTGGTTCCGGCAGCGGCTCTGGGCACGGGTGCAGGGGTCAAGTCCTGGGGAAAAAAGTGTGGGAACTCACCCAAGATTCCCGCCTCCCCCCCTACCCTCCACTTAAAAAAAAAAAAAAAAAATTACACTCCTATGCATAGAGTGCAGTGCAGGGTGTGTATAATGAATGTAGTGTGTTTGTAGTGAATGCAGAGTATGAATAATAAATGTAGTGTGTTTGTAGTGAGTGCAGTGTGAATAATAATTGTAGTGTATTTGTAGTGAGTGTGAATAATAATTGTAGTGTATTTGTAGTGAGTGCAGAGTGTGTATAATGAATGTAGTGTATTTGTAGTGAGTGCAGTGTGTATAATAAATGTAGTGTGTTTGTAGTGAGTGCAGTGTGTGTAGTGAGTGCAGTGTGTATAGTGAATGTAGTGTTTTTGTAGTGAGTGCAGAGTGTGTATAGTGAGTGCAGAGTGTTTATAATGAATGTAGTGTGTTTGTAGTAAGTGCAAATTGTGTATAATGAATCTAGTGTGTTTGTAGTGAGTGCAGTGTGTACAATGAATGCAGTGTATGTAGTGTGTTTGTAGTGAATGCAGAGTGTGTATAGTGAATGTAGTGTGTAGTGAGTGCAGAATGTGTATAATGAATGCAGAGTGTGTATAGTGAATGCAGAGGGTGTATAGTGAATGTAGTGTGTTTGTAGTGAGTGAAGAGTGTGTATAATGAATGCAGTGTGTGCGCGTGCTGGATGACGTGTGTGTGAGTGCTGGATGATGTGTGTGTGTGTGCTGGATAATGTGGGTGTGTGCTGGAGGATGTGTGTGTGTGTGTGCTGGAGGATGTGTGTGTGAGTGCTGGAGGATGTGTGTGAGTGCTGGATGATGTGTGTGTGTGAGTGATGATGGGTGTGTGTGTGCTGGATGATGGGTGTGTGAGTGCTGGATGATGGGTGTGTGTGTGCTGGATGATGGGTGTGTGAGTGCTGGATGATGGGTGTGTGTGTGCTGGATGATGTGTGTGTGAGTGCTGGATGATGGGTGTGTGTGTGTGAGTGCTGGATGATGGGTGTGTGTGTGTGAGTGCTGGATGATGGGTGTGTGAGTGCTGGATGATGGTGTGTGGGGGGGGTGGAAGCATTTTTTTCTTACTTTATGTGTATGTATATATTTTTATTTTATCCCCCCCTCCCTGCTTCTTACCTTGTCAGGGAGGGGGGAGATCGCCTGGTGGTCCGGTGGAGGGAGCCAGCCGCTGCTGCACACAGGGGCCATCACACGCTGTGTTCCCTCTCCAGCTCTAACTCTCGCGAGACTCGCCTGTGCGGAGCGTTGCCATGGTAACAGCCGCGGGTCTCGCGAGAGTTATAGCTGGAGAGGGAACACAGCGTGTGATGGCCCCTCAGTGCAGGTAGCAGGGCCGGTCCTGCAGGACAGGTAACGGGAATGGCGTTCCTGCTTTGGAAAAAGTGCAGGAACGCCGTTCCCATGCGTTCCTGCAGGACTCGAGCCCTGCACGGGTGGTCACTGGGTTCACATCTGCAGGGCCCATCGGAGCATAGGCTGAAACCAAAGGGGCCAAATCGTTTCCCAGAAGAACATCTGCGGGCAAGTCCTTCATCACCCCCACATCCACATGTCTAGCGCCCACTCCCCAATCCAAATGTACCCGGGCAACAGGTAAGCGAAACACGGCACCCCCTGCTACCCTTACTGCTACAGTGTCCCCAGTGTGTTGATGCTCTGAGACCAAGTTCTTTTGGAGCAGTGTCATCGTGGCTCCTGTGTCTCTCAGCCCATTTACCACTCTGCCATTCAGCTTCACAGTTTGCCGATGTTGCTGGCGATTATCCTGGTGAGCTGCTTGCACTGGGTCTGCCTCGTGTAGGATGCCCCAGAATTCCTCCTGCTCCAGGCAGTGAGCAGCCGGCTGAGGTGGGTGCTGATTTCCATTGACTGGTCTCCTCCAGGACTGAGCCTGGTTGGCACTGTTCAGTGGGCACTCAGGACGCTTGTGCCCCAACTGCTTGCACCCAAAGCACCGGATGGGTTGGGAATACTCACGGGCATTAAATCGGGCTGGCTGCACATAATTGTTAGCTGGTGGTGTGGCTGGGGTACGGTGTACTGGGGGTTGGTAGACTGAAGGAGCGGGTATTACTGCTGGTCGATACTCCAGTCTGGCAGGGGCTTTAGCAGCTGTACCATCCAACTTGCGGGCATCCGTGTATTCGTCTGCCAGACGGGCAGCCTCGGGTAGGGTAGAGGGTTTTCTGTCTCTGACCCATTCCCGGACCCCAGCAGGTAGTCTATCAAAACAGTGCTCAAGCAGGAACACTTGTAATACCTCCTCCCCAGTTACCGCTTGGCATCCAGCCATCCAGTGGGCTGCTGTACGATGGACTCTGCAGGCCCATTCCACATAAGAGTCCCCAACCAGCTTGTTGGTTTCTCTAAACCTCCGCCTGTACGCCTCTGGGGTCACCGCATACCTGGCTAGGAGCGCCTCTTTCACAGCCCGGTAGCTGGTGATCTCCTCCTCTGGGATGGCCCGAAATGCCTCACTAGCCCGGCCAGATAATTTCCCAGAGAGGATGGTGACCCATTCATCTGCAGGTACCTGATGTAGCGCACACTGCCTCTCAAAGTCTGCTAAAAATCCATCAATCTCTCCCTCTGTTTCCACAAAATTTTTAAATGCAGCAAAAGGTACCTTCTTTCTAGCAAACACATTATTATTGTAAGGTACCTCTGCTGCTGCAGCTCCTCTTTCCCGGAGTGCCTGTTGTGCTGCTACTGCTGCCTGCACACGCTCCACGATGTCAGCTGAGGGGTTGGGGCCAAAATGTGCCAGCCTTATTTGCACTGCCCGGTTAAATTGTATTTCCTCGGGTGTTAAATCCAAGGTACTGGGCACGTTGACTCTTTCCATTCCCGTTGCTGCATCCATCTCCAGTAGCAAAGCAATAATCTCCCGTTTCTTTAAATTGCTTGCTGACCTTCCTCGGCGTTCCAATATGTCCTTCAGTGTAGCACGCCTTAATTCCTCGTACTGCATGTCTTGTAGCTGACCTCCAGTGCGGTAGGATTCATCCCGTCGCTTGCCACCAATTGTTAAGACACCTCCAGTGTCTTTAGGCAAAACCGCCGTTTAGTAAACCTTCCCCGGCTGCAGTACAGTCTCCATTCGCTTACTCTGTAACACACGAACCAAATGCAGGGGAAGCGGCAATCTCCCGATCAAAATCCACGAACGGCTCCAAACTCCCGAACGGCAATACACGAACTGCTGGTAACCATCGAACAGTAATATTCCCCAAGCGGCTTTCGTTCCATCCAGCAGTCTCTAAACGTGAAGAAGAAATCCCCCCAATAACGAGACAGAAGCTCCGCATTGAGGGTCAAACAGAATCTGGTTTTACTGTGGGCTACCTGCCCGTATTTATGCAGGTCTCCCACTTGGTGGACACTCCCCTAGGGGACCAAATGGGAGACTTAAACTACAGACAGATAGAAGGACATTTCAGACACACAGTCACATATTTTACCCACAGTGCATTATGATTCCCTCCCCCTGCCCTGGAGTTAATTACCAAGTAACTCAATTAACTCCAGGACAAGGACAGTCGCCATCTTAGACATAAAATAATAAAAGACATAAAAATACATAACTACATGAAAACTGAACATTTCCCATTCGTATTACATGTCCCCAGATAGCCTGGATCTGAGTGCATATTATTAGCGAATAGCGCTCAGATCCCACACACATAGTTCAATCGCCATGGAGTCAAAGTTCTTACAGTCTTTCGGTATACGAATGACTCCATGGGAAGGCTATCTGGGTTAAGTCTTTTGTATGCTCTCAATCTCCCGAACGGCCGGTGTTCGCATGCTTTCGTGGAGGCAGCCAGGCGTTCCCTTGTTTCAGCGGTGTTCGGCAGAAAAAGTGTCCGTTTTCAGTTCCATAGAAATAGAGCCAAACACCGCTGGGCGTTCGCGTGATTTAAAATGGCCGCTGCCTCGTGGTCGACATACGAACGACGACCACCCTGAATTCGGTTTAATTGAGAAGTGTCTGCAGTTAACCACAACGTTCTAATTGGGATCACTTCATTAACCAGCAGCACACTCTTCACTTGGGTGGCCGTTCGTTCGGCAGATTTGTTCGGGAAAAAGAGTCATTCGAATGGCTGGGCTATAGAAACCAGCCATTCATACGAACGGGGGACAAACAGACGAATGGGGTAAAAATCCAAGCAGACAGATGGTTCTGTCACAATGTGTATCTATTAAGCTTGTCACACTGTTTCTTCATTAAGCTGGTCTCATTGGCGTCCTGCATAGCCGGGCATAGCTCAGAGCACCTTGCAAATACTTCTAATTGAGCTATTTTGGAATGTCTGTAATAAGACAGCTACAGAAAGTCTGGACTAAGGAAAAAAGGCGTACATGTGACTTGCAAAGGCTTCAGTCAATAGATCAGCAGCTCTTGCGAGCTATATTTAGATATACCTTGAAGAAAAAAAATGTAACACTATGCTTCATTTAGATATATCTCTTAAGCTCTAGGTGACTCCTACTGCTCTCTTTATAGGAAAACTATAGTGCTAGGCTTAAAGGACCACTATAGGCACCCAGACCACTTCAGCTCAATGAAGTGGTCTGGGTGCCAGGTCCCTCTAGTCTTAACCCTGCAGCTGTAAACATAGCAGTTTCAGAGAAACTGCTATGTTTCACTGAGGGTTAATCCAGCCTCTAGTGGCTGTCTCACTGACAGTCACTAGAGGCCGCTTCCATGATTCTCACTGTGAAAATCAGTGAGAAGATGCTGACATCCATATGAAAGCATTGAGTAATGTTTTCCTATGGGCATTTTTAATGCACGTGTGGCTCTGGCCGCGCATGCGCATTTGGCTCCATTTGGGAGCCAACGTCGGTGGGGAAGGAGAGGTCACCAGCGCCGTGGGAGCCCTGCGCTGGAGAAAGGTAAGTGGCTGAAAGGGTTTTAACCCCTTCAGCCCGGCTGGGGGGGGACCTAAAGACTACATCGTGCCAGGAAAACAATAGTGGTCCTTTAAGTAAATGTATGCATGTTTTTGTTGCCAGTTAATCTTCTAAAAAGTGATTTTCAGGGTTTTTTTGTTTGTTTTTTTTTTTGTTCAGTGGAATGCTCATTTAATTGAATTGAGTGAAAAATATGCATTGGCATGAATTATGGATACATTTGAAAATGCCAGAATCTAAGGATAATAATGTTATATTGCAGTAAAGAAACTAAAGAAACCAATCAAATGTTGACTGTGGGGGTTAATTTCTGTGTTTTTCAAAATACTGAATCTGAATTTATCTCATAGAAATCTACATATAGATTAAAGGCATGATGTTCATATCCCTCCTAAAGCTCACACG